ATCCAATTACCTTCCCATTTCAGTGCTCTCATACTGGGGCAGGCATGGGACTGACAATCTCCAGGTCACACCAAGTTCAGCTGATAGAGTGGGGAAGCTGAGGCCCAGAGAGGTTATGACTATTATATCATCAGGTATAACTCTTCATTCCATTTCATTTAGCTTGTCTGTAAATCATTCTGTGAAGGAATGGGAGTGCCTGAACGAACAAAGGAAATGGAACAATCAGCCTCAATATAAATTGGGGACAGCAGGAGGAATCACAAGGCTGATAGCTCCCAGTCTAAGTTGTGAAGGAGACATTTTTACCTTACGCGTACCCTTCCCTAAGAGGCTCGTTACATTTTCTCTGCCTTTCCAAAGCAAACCATGTTCACCTTTCTTTCTGATACTCAGGACTCCATATGTTTTTCACCCTTGACCCCCTTTGAGGAACATGGCTCAGGACTTGAAGCCAATGGCTTTCATTTTTTCCCGTGTTGAGGGGCCTTTTCTGCAGACAAAATTTTATGGCAATGTCAGAAATGTAAGAGCAGAGCTGCTCAGGTGGGAGCAGTTGTGGGCAACATAAGGCCCTCTTGGCTGGTGTCCTCACTCCTCTTGTTGGAAGCTTGGGAAGCGCTAAGAAACAGAATTTTCAACCCACTGCCCTAGTCATTTTTTGCCATTACCCTTCTTTTCATCAAGACCCACAAGTCTTAAGTCTCATTTCTCTTGAACAACATAGGTGACAGCTATCTAATCCTATCAAACTATTATTTTATCAATTTATTCAGAATAGTATAATGGTGGTAATAAAATATGAATGGGGATCCTACTGACAATGTTAGCATTTTAACTGGGATATCATGAAGATAGTACCTCAAAGTAAAAAATTACCTTATCTGTGCAAATTTTGGGTTCTAGAATGTCTTCCTAGGATATATTTCCAGAGCCTTTAAAGTTACTTCAACTGTGGATAGGGACCATGCTTAAAAGTCAAATCTCCTCAGTCACTTTTGTAAAAGTTGCCTTTCCAGTAACACTTCGATGAAAATTGCATAATAAAAAAGATAATTTTCTTTCTTTATTTAAGAGAATCTTCTCTTCTTGAGTTAATATAAAATAATGATTTAAATACAAAAGAGCACAAATTTCAGATAGTAGCAGGGACATTCTATTGGTTTTAGTCCTATGTCCCTGGGCAGGCACAGCTTTCATTTATAGATGCTTGGTTGCCAAATGCTGCACACACCTTATATGTGACTCTAATTTCTTAAAATCATATTAATAGTTGTCACTTTTCCTTGCCCATCCTGCAACCTCCTATAAATAGTCCCATGTTCATCGCGGTTTGGTTCTCCATGGATAATTCCATGAGTGTCCACAGGGGGGCAGGACATACCAGACTGCAAGGTTGTCTGTATTTCCTTCTATTTGAGGGGGGAAAACCTAATTACAAAAAGTATGACCTGGTCAAGGGACTAAAGGTGCCTTCTCACTTCAGCTCAAAAACATCTTGCCACTTTTCATATTCTTCATAGATAAAGGTGCTGAAGAAATTATGAGAGAATCTAAAGACTGAAAACTTAAATTCTATAGCATTATTTCAAGTTCTCCAAATGTGAGATCCAAAAGCAGACTTTGATTTGTAGTGTGCTCTTTACTCTTCATATCTTTATTTTTATAACACACACACACACACACACACACACACACACACACACACACACACACACCCCAAAGGCCCTGGCATGCCTGTTAACATTGGGGTGGAGTTTTATTTGAAAAGGAGGAAGAGAAAGGCTTTGTGCATTACTGTGGATCATTGTCACTATATTTGAAAAATATAGAGGAGAAGAGTTGGATTAGAAGTCAGAAATACTTGCCTCCTAGTTCTTGGTAGATTTCTGACAGCTTGTGACCTTAAGTCCCTCCATTGAGTTTGTTCCTCTCTTTGCTCACCTATGAAATCAGTGCTACAACCCTTTCTGGCAAAGAGCAACCAGCACCTTCCTTGCACAGACAGACCAGAGGCTGGTAGCAACGAAGGAGGGGAATCCTTAAGCTAAGGAGACTGACCACGTCCTGTGTGATCACTGTCCTGTTGTCATTTATGCACACATGACTCCATCTAGTGTGTGAGAGAACCTAAATCAGAGCAAATAGGCTCATCACTTTGTTTCCTGTTTACTGAAAACTTGAAACAGATAATAGTTGCTGTGAGCAAAATGAAAAGAGAATACAGACACCTGCAGTTGCCGGCAGGAAACATTTTATTGAACGGAGAGTCTGAAACCATGAACCATCATTAACCAGGCTACATACTGGTAGAAATTAAAATACTGATAATATAAACCATAAGTGTTTATTGCCCCGAAGGAAGAGGTGGAGAGAGACCACAAGTAAAGGGCCTCTATTAGATGACACTCAGGCAGATGGACATAGCGAGGTGCACAATAGGCTAGACAAGACTCATGCATGCATCCCAGACTGACAGGTAGGCAGAAGGGAACTACGTGCCTGCAAGTGAGAAATAAGGGGTTTTAGTCTGTGGATTTGCAGAGGTGGCATGGGTAGGCCATAGCAGGGTGGTGAAGACCTGCAGAGAGGGGCAGAGGACACAGAGGATAGATGTTGAAGGAAACGAGCTTGGCAGTAATACAAAACCAAAAAACCAACAACAAACAAGGATGAGCAGACATGCTTTGGCCATAATGTTAAGTTACAAAGGAAGACTACAATACAGCTTCTATCTTTGCATTACAATAATATGAAAATGGTGTGTATATAAAAAAAATTAAGAAGGAGTGGAAGGGAACACATAAAAGAAAAACTATTTGATTTGTTGTAATGGCAAAATTATCTGAGAAACAATTTTTTTATTCAGCTCTATTTCATTTTATACTCTTAATTTAGTAAATAATACACTATTTTAAAACACAGAGAGAGGAAGGAAGAAAAGGTTATAGTAAAGCACCTTGGACTCTAAAATCTCTGAAGTTAAAACTCATGAAACCAAAACTAGGATGGGGCCAGAAGGGGCATCCATGGAGATCCAGAGGAGAGTAGTGTGACCTTGGGCCTCAGATTCTCTATGTGTAAAATAGAGGTAACATGTACTTACCTCATAAGATTGTTTTGAAGATTAAATGAAATAATATATGGAAAGGGCTTGCAACCTGCTCAATTCACAAATTCTCCTTTTTGCCATTACCTGAGGGAGGTGAGTACTCAGGGCAGAATAGAGCAGGAAAGCAAAACTTCCCCCACCCTGGCAGTTACCTGAGTGGTCCCTGCAGGGGCAGTAAAAGAAATGTAAAAGCAAAAGAGAGAAAAGGGAAGAAAGTGAGAGGGATTGAGGTAGAGAGGATGGGAACACACACAGAGTAATGTAGGAAAAAATGGTCTGAAATCAAATAAAACCATAAAGGAAAGAAAACAGCAAGAATGAAATCAAGATACTAGGCCAGTGACGAATTCTTGTGTCCTGGAATGGGAAGAACCCTGAGTTTGAGGTCTGAGCCCTGGGTTCTGTCCCTGGCAGCATGTCCTCTTGGCTAAGTGTCCCTGGAAAAGTCATTTATCCTCTCTTAATTTCATTTGTTAAAAATCCGTGAAAGTGAAAATAGTAAGGCCAACCTCACAGAGCTGTTGGGGCATTAAGGGAGAGCATTTTATGGTTAGGGGCTGAGCACCCAATAAACGTACAGATAAACTCCCGTCCTTAGCGCCGGGCACTGGGCAATAGCTGTGGGAGAGAAATTCTCCTCCTTGATTTGCAGCGTCAGGCCCAGAAAGGAGCGGAGTAGTGGGCGGGAAGACAGGCCGGGAGAATCTGGGGACAGATAAAGGAAACTCATGATGAGGCGAGGCTGGGCTGAAGAGAAACAGATTGGGGAAGAGCTGCAAAGGGAGGGTCCGCGGACAGGGAGGTGGACGCCGGGGCGGGAGAGAGTGGGAAGGCAGAGAGCGCTGGGAGGGCAGAGAGAAGAGAAGCAGGCTGGGGAAAGAGGGGTTGGAATGCAGAAAGCACTTGGGGAAGGAGGAAATACTGAAAGCGGAGGGAAAGAAGAGAGGGGAGATGGGGATGCAGTGGTCGCGGTGGACAGACCGCCAGAGGGAAGAGGACCCGGGGAGCAGACAGAGAAAAGAAGCGACTAAAGCCAGAGCCAGAAGAGTGTGGGGACTTCGAGAAGAGGGGCTTCGGCCTGGAGGAGCGCGCAGCAGTTTTAGCGTCTATCCAGACTCTAAAAAGTGACCTTTGCCTGACCTTGAGGGTCGGAAACAGACGCCCTGTCTTTGTGGAGAGCTGCACCACACCGAGAGAAAGGGGCTGTTCAGGGCTGGGCCTCCCCTGGCCCAGAGCTGGGCCCTGAAGGGAGCGACAGCTGGCCTGGAGGCTGCGGCAGAGGGAAGAAGGTACCACCGCCGGAGCTGCCGCCCAGTACCACTGCACCGAGCTGTCTCTGGGGGGCGCCGCTGCCGCTTCTCTCCTCCCGGGCCGAAAGCTCCCAGGAAAGTGGAGGCGGCTGGCGAGGACCGAGACTCCGAGCGGTGCTGCGGAGGGACCGAGCTTCAGACAGTGCTAGGGAGACCCTGGCACTGCGGATGCCCCTGGATTCCTCGCTGTGGGGCGGCCGATGCCGCCTTCTGCCCAGCGCCCCTGGCCCGCTCTGCTCACACCGCGGGGCAATCCCGAGCGCGTCCCGCGGGGGCGCTGCATCTCCCTTCCACACCCGCACACTGCGGACCCTCTCCCCCACACCTCCTACACGCACCACCCGGCCTCTCCTCCCACCCTCCGTCCCCCTCCGCCCCCCTCCCCTCCCTCACCCTCTTCTCCCCTCCCGGCTAGGGGCGGGAGGGGGCGTGGCAGGGCCGGGGTTTGTGTGGCCGGGACCCGGCTCCTCGCACTCCGAGTCCGCCCCAGGAGCCGGGCCCCGGCCGCTGTCCAGCCATTCCGTGCCTCTCGCGCCCTGCGCTGCCGTCTCTTGGGAAGACGCTGCCACTCGCTCACCATGGATATTCCCAGGGTTCTGCTCTCGGCCGTCTTCCTCATCAGTTTCCTGTGGGATTTGCCTGGTTTCCAGCAGGCTTCCATCTCATCCTCTTCGTCCTCTGCCGATCTGGGCTCCGCCAAGGGAATGCGAAGCCGCAAGGAAGGGAAGATGCCGCGGACGCCGCAGGAGAGTGCCACTCCACGGGCGTCCCCGGAGCTCCACGAGCCACAACCGCGGGCGCAGGAGGAGCCCCAGCGGCCGCCGCCGCCGCAGCCCCAGGCACAGGAGCCTCCGGGCAGGGGCCCACGCGTGGTGCCCCACGAGTACATGCTGTCAATCTACAGGACTTACTCCATAGCGGAGAAACTGGGAGTAAATGCCAGTTTTTTCCAGTCTTCCAAGTCGGCTAATACGATCACTAGCTTTGTAGACAGGGGACTAGGTAAGTGGCAAAGAAGACGCCAGACTTCTTTCTCCGGGAGCTCCGGAGCCAGGGAGCTGCTCCAGCTCTGGCCGGAGGCTGCATTTGTAAATTTCCTTCCGGCTCTGGACACCTTTCTTTTCTTAAATTGTTTTTTTATTTTTATTTTTCAAAAGTCCGAGTAAGTTTCTTGATGCGGCTGCAGATTTAATTACAGTTTGCAATCCTCCCTTCCTCTTTCCTTTCTTTCTCCCTTCCTTCCTTCTTCGTCTGGTCTTTTGCGGAAAGCAGCGTGGTGGCTGCCTCTCTGGTGGCTGGTGGAGGAAGCGTGCAGGGCGGGAGGTGGCGGGCCAATGACCCGGGCCGGAGAGGGGTCGTGGCAGATGCTGACGGAACCATGCCACCGGCTCCCGGGTTTTGCAGGGTGCGCGTTCCAAGGCTTGAACTACCTTGGGACCAATCGGTCCCGGGGGCAAGAGTGAGCGTTGGAATGCCACGAGCTTCTGTCGGCTCCAGGAAAGCCGGCAGATGCGAGTCCCGTGGTCGGAGGAGCGAGTCGGCGAGCGGCATCTGGCAGTGCCCTCTCCCTGCGGCTGCACGGGTGCTGAGCTCATCCCGGTTCTGAATGTAGGGATCGTCACCCGGGCAGGAGCCCTGCTCCTTCGTGGTGTGTGTGTGTGTTTGCTTCCGCAAAGCGCCTTCCCCGCTCCAAGTCGTTTCTGCAGAGGCAGCAATTGGCAGGGCGGGCTGGGGGCAGGGACAGGGCAGCTCAATTTGGGGTTTGTTGGTACAGTACTTAATCCACATGGGTGCATGGGCGAGCTCATCCACCTTTCTCATCCAGCCAATGCTCCTCTCTTGCGCTCCTACCAGGGCCGCAGTCACTTGCCCTCTTTGCGGGCACGGGCGCCTGCCTTGGTGTCTGCAGAAACCCTTGAGCCCCCTTCTCGCTGCAGGTGTTGGACTGCAGCATGGGGAATGCCTTCCAGAAAACCTCGAGCTCCCCCCGGTCCCAGAAATTAGAGAGGGATCTACAGGCGCCAGAACTCAGCTCCTAAAGAAGAAAGACAATAATGTGGATGGAGACTAGAAAGGAAGGGAGAAAAAAAGAAAGGAAGGGGGAAAGGAGAGGAGGGGAAGGAGAAGAAAGGAGGTAAAAGAGATTTAGGTTATCTGCTCTGACGTCCTGCCCAGATTTAGCTCCGCGCGGTGACCCTTCCCCGCCTCCCACTGCTGGGAAGTGAAAGTGGGGTCACCCCGGAACCCGCGAAAGTTCAGGCGGAGAGGGCTGCTCTGCCGGGCTGCCTTGGGTACCCGCATGTCCTCCAGACTTTTCAGAGCTTCCCGAGCTCCAGCCCTCAGACTCCTCCCTTGCAGACGTCTTCCTTACGGGCAAGGGTCCTGCCCTGGCGAGATTCGTCGCTGCCTCTGGAGGTCAGCGAGGTTCATGAGCTGCTGAAAGGTCCGGGCGGCACATTAACGCTGGGTATTATGAGGTGATTTTAGTACTTAAAAAAGTCACCTTTGTAAATACACGTGGCTTCTTCGTAGTGTTGGAACTGGGTCCCCCGCCACCATACTACCAGCGCAGCTTGCCAACTTCCCCCTCCACTCCAAACCCTGTTTCTTTCTCCCTCCTTCCTAATCTGTTTATCCTCCGCCTTTTCTACTAACGTAGCCGAAGGAGAGCCTAAGGAGCTCAGAGAAAATTGCTCAAGAGGCCTTTCCCCAGGGGAAGAAATCCCGGAGGCCCAGGCTGGCGGGCGGTTGGGCGCGCATTTTCTTTCCCACTAAGGGAAGTTTCAAGACTCTCCGCCCCTCCCCCAAACAGGCACCCCCTCGCACGTTCGCTGCGCGCAGCGAGTTTGGCACAGGACCAAGGGACTCTGCAGGCGGTTTGGAGGTGTCTACCAAAGCCTGTGGCCTTCAGGCAAGTGTAAGGAGGCTCTGGGGGCTTCAGGTCCGGGTCAGACACCGGCTCGCTTCACCTTTGCTTACGCTGCAGCCTCTCCCCGGGCACCGAGCTGGACGCCCCTGGGCTCCGGAGGTAGGGAAGGGCCTGGCTGCGTGCCCAGGCTGAGGGTTGGGGGACTCTGTTTCTGAGCCAAGGTCTCCAGGCTAGCTGGACCGAGATCCAGACGTCCGGCTTCAGCTCTGGAATGCCGTAGAGAGATGCGGTCCCCAGCCGAAGGAGATGCGGCTTGACCACCTGGACTGCAGTTTCAAATGCGCGGTCTCCTCCACGCCCTCGGGTTCCCAGAACACACGAAGAAAGGCAGTTAATTGATTGGGAAGGCTATGCAGCTCGTCGCACCCGCGCGGGGGCAAAGGAGTGCGGGGCGAAGGCTGGAGGGGGGACGCAAGGGAGGGGTATGTTGTAGGCTACAGCCCCAGCTTGATAAAGGGAAAGCCTCACTTTCCCTCTCACTGATTTTGATTTGATGTGTCACCTGCGGTGACCTCGGGTAGGACCTTCCGGGGCTTGCTTAGCATCGGGCCCCTGATTGGAGTGTTTCAACTCAGCGATCTAATTGAGGGTTTATGTCATAACACATCAAACGGTGTCTAGTCTCCCGTGATGGAAGGGACCCGCCAGCCGCGCATCCCCGGCCCCTAGAGAGGACTTCCGCCCCTCTCGTGTGGGGACTCTCAACCGCGCCAAACCCTCCAACATCCCCTCCCCCAACCCGTGGACGGCAGGGCGAGAGGAAAGAACAGCGGCCAGCCAAGAGGCCAGCCAAGAGCTAGGCCAGCCGCACTAACTTGTTGCCTTGCCTCGAGGATGTTACAATCGCCATCGAATGTGGCAGACTCGGCTGCGAGGAGCTGGGGTCGCCCAGGGGGAGGAGCAAAGAAAATGGCAGGAATCCCGAAGCCGGTTTGCAAAGCATGAACTACTTACTCATGTGCAGTATTTGTAAAAAGCTTTGCTCGCCCGGGAATCCGGAACCCCAAAAGTTCCACCTGAAGCTTTCAATTAAGAGTGGAAGAGCAGGGATAAACTCTTTCCAGAGTGAATGAAGGACGTTTTAGGTCTATTAAGATAGCAGGATCTGTTCTACCTCACCGCTGCCGCCCTCGCCCCACCCTCAAGAACTTCTTGCAGGTTACAAAAAAAAATTAGTATGTTCCTCCTTTAGATTTGTTAACCAAACATCCACAGGTAATAATAGTAACCAAGATATACTGAGCATTTACTGTGTACCAAGCACTATGCTAAAATCTGTTACATGAGTTATTTATTTAATTCTAACAACAATCTCCAGGAGCCTGCTACAATTACTGTTTTACAGGTGAATTAAGGAAGACAGAGAGGTTGAACAAGTTGCTCAAAGTCACACAGCTAATGAGAGGTGAAGCTCATATCTGGTTCTAGATGTATATGCTTGCCTGTGGTACTATATAGATAGAGTAAGGGGTGAGGAGGTTTTTAAAAGATTGTGGCAAGAAGCAAAACAATGGACAGATACCCTTCCTCCTCAAATATTCCTCTGTAGTCTCTTAAGACCTAGTTAGTAGTTGGAGTGGAACTTTGGATTTAAGGGTCTGCCTTGTTTCCTCTTTATACACCTTGTGAAGGGCACAAACTATGTTATCCCTGATATTTTAAATGCCTTTATAGTGTTCTTTTAAATAATTTTGAATCTATAAAGATGAGAAAGTGTGTGCATGTGTGTGTTAGTACAGTCATAGGACCAGAATGGACCAGGCTGGATATAGAGAAATTACGATTAGTACAAGATATAACTCATTAAAAGCCTGGACCCTGAACCCCGGGGCCTGGGAAAGTCAGACAATTAGTACTTCTATGAATTCAACATGGCTGAGAGATAGAGTGGGGAGGGAGAGAGAAACAAAACCGGACTTTCAGTTTATGTAGTGAGAAGTGCCACAGAATTCCAACAAGGGGGACAAAAAAAAAAAAAAAAATATCCCAAGGATGAGGATACCAAAATGAGCCTAAGATTATCGCTGCGACTTAGGTTTCCAGATGATTTGGAAATAAGAATACTCTTTAAAAGTATTTTTTGCTTGTTGTGACAATAGCGCTCTCAGAAAGGAGTCAGTAGGGAACAGATAAAAACCAAAACGAGATCGGAACATCCTTGAAGAACTTGACACCCTAGACATGAATCTCCGGAGAGTTTTCGGTTGATTGTTTGTTGGCTTCTTGGTTTACCTTCTGGGTCGTGATTATCAAGGGGCAGGGCAGGACAATGGTGGGGTAGCCGGGCTGAAGGGAGGGCATTCTAAGGGCCATAGAGTTCCTTCCTTCACAATTGAAGTTCCTCTGGTACAACATGTTTATGCAAAACAGCGAATTTCTGGGCGAACCTGTGTCGCAGAGCGGTTTTGTAATCTACGCTGCAGCGCTTTTGCCCGGACCCTGTTGTCGTTGGCAAACGGAAAATGAAATATAAGCGGGGAAGTATTTTAATGGGGACGGAGGGAATTCACAACTGTTAATTATTTGGTGACCTTGTATTCGATTTGTTTGAGTCCCTTATAAAAACACTAATGCAGACCAGACGGCCAAGCGAGGAAGCCGGCAGAAGGTTCCAATCTAGGCTTTATTTTCCCGGAAAGAGGGAACAGCCTTGGAAAAGGATTGCTGAGCGTCCAAGTGTGCGTGTGTGCGTGTGCCCGCGCCCGCGTGAACGCCTGCTCGGGGTTTACTTTACCCAGAGGTTCAGACCCACCTCCAGCCAGGTGATCTGGAAAGTCCTGGCAAAAGCCCGAGAGTAAGGGAAGGAAGCCTTAAACCACAAATTTGTTCTGCACTTCTGGTTGCAATGATTAAAACACTAAGGCCACAAACCAACCCCTAAGTCATTGGTTTGTTGTTAAATATCAGTTATTCTCACCCGCATCCCTAAGGCCTTAAGGGCTGCTTTGCAGGAGCCTTACAAAGTCCGCCTTAGCAGGAAGCTAGGAATACCTAGAGTTACCTGCAGCAAGAGTGCAAGTTGGCGCTGGAATTCTGGGCGAGATTCCTGAACAGGAGAGGCTAATCTGAGGAC